CCCTCTGTGCCAGTTCCTGCTGCCGCCGGTGGTTCCTCTTTTGGCTGCGGGCAAGAGCCCTCCCAAGACAACCATCCCGCCTGGGGCAGGGGCTCTGGAGGTGCTCGGAGGCAGCCGAGGCGATGGAATTGATCCACAGACTTTTCCAGCAGCTCTGGGTAACGGGAGTAAGGAAACAGAGCCAAGTAGTGCTGGCAGGGAAGTCAGTCCTGGGGGAAACGGGGGGCACAGGCACTGCGCCGCGCTAGAGAAAGCCCGTCATCCATGGGGACGGTCCTCCCCACTGCATCCTCGAGCCTGACCCAGCCCCACAGCGGGGCTGAGACCGGCAGCAGCTGGCAGGTCCTTCTGCCGGAGGCTCGTGGTGACAGGGCTCCCACATTTCCAGGTTTCCATTACGAATCCAACAATGAGACGGACAAGCGGGAGTTCGAGAAGGCCGTGGAGACCATCGCAGTGTCCTTCAGCAGCACGTAAGGGGGTTTTGGCCAACCGTTCCCCGGAGAAGGTCCCCCCGACGCACCCCGTCACCAGCCAGGACGCATCTCGGCCCCTCGCCGCAGACACAGCCCCGGTGGGGGCTGGTTTGGGGGGTGTGGGGACTGGGGATACCCCGTGGGGAGGGCAGATTCACTCCTGCTCACACCAGCAATTCCTCCAGCTCCAAGGAGGGACCCCAAAACCTGCTCGAGCCCTCAGGCTCCATCTCCCGGCCCCTCTTCAGTGGGGTGGGGGGTCCAAGCTCTGCAGCTCCACCTGAGTTACCCACTGAAACCAGTATCGCTGCCCCGACTGCCCTGGCCCTCACTCTCTCCCTCCGACGTGGGTCGGGTGCTGCTGGGTGACAGCCCTGTTCGTCTCTGCCCCGGCTTGGCGGAGCCGGCCGCGTCCCTCTCCCCACAGCGTGTCCGAGTTCCTCATGGGGGAGGTGGACAGCAGCACCATCCTCTCCATCCCACCCAGCGACCAGAACCAGGTGAGTGACGCCCGGTCCCATCACACCGGTCTCGGGATGTGCTGGGGGCTCAGACCCAGCTTGGGAAGGGGCTGAGCCCCCAGCCCCACACGTGGGATTCGCCAGGTTTCCGCCTCCCCTTCAGCCCCTCCAACTGCTCCCCTTCCTCTTCTCTGATCAGTCCTTTTTCTTTCCCAATTCCCAAAGACGATGGAGAGCCTCTACGGCGGGATCCCCGGGCCTGGAGGGGTTGGAATGCCTCCTGGCATGGAAAGCTACGTCACGGGTAAGCCGGCAGACGCTGGGTGCAGGGTTTGGGGTTGGGGGGTACCCGTCTGGGCAGACCGGCCGCCAGCAACTGGCATCTTCCCCATCCCTGCTGGGATTCTGAGCCGCACACGGCTCCTCGGATGGGGAAAGGCAGCAGAGCCGCTGCTGGGACCAGGAGCTGGCAGGACACCGGCACAGCACAGTGCCGGCACCGGGACGGCGAGGTCACGGACGTTGCGGGGCTGATCCAGGCTGTGCTGGGGTCTTCCCAGCTGCTCCAGCGCTCCTGGGAACTCAGAGACAACGGGAGGGAGTGGGTCAGTGAACGCAGTGCCAGCAGCCCAATCGGGGTCTCTCTCCTCCTTCTCCCCCCACCTTCCCCCTCGTCCCATCCCAGGACGTCCTCCCGCCGAGGAAGTGGACGTGATGCTGCAGCGCTGCGAGGGGGGGGTTGATGCCGCCCTCCAGTACGCCAAAAACATCTCCAAGTACATGAAGGACCTCATCGGATACCTGGAGAAAAGGACCACGCTGGGTGAGACGGGGCGGGCGGGTCCTCTCCAGAGCGGGGCTGGGGTCCCCGGAGCAGCGTCGGGACAGCTTGAGGTCCCCTGCGGTGATGTGCGCGACGCTGAGGGAGTCGGGTAGCTGCAAGGAGAGCGGCAAACTTCATCCCTGGAGTTCTTGATTTATTTTTCCAAAGGAATCCACTCGGCAGGGAAACCCTGGGGTTCCCTACTATGTCCTTTCACTTCCAACGTTTTTCTTCCAGAAATGGAGTTTGCCAAAGGGCTTCAGAAGATGGCAAACAGCTGCAAGCAAACCATCAGCCAGGAGGTAGGTCCACGTGTCCCTGGGGCCAGCCGGCACCCAGGCTGTCGGGAACACGCAGCCCCGGAACGTTCCTACGGAGAACGAGCACGCGGTTCTCCAAAGCCCTTTGCTTGGCAACATCCGTTTGCCCAAACCACAGCGAAGGATAATGCCGAGACCCTGAAAAAGCTCCTCCACCAGCGGCCGAGGCTGTGTCTCTCTTCCCTGGACGCGGCACCGGAGGACACGTCTCCTTCGGTGCTGGGGGTCAGCGTGGTGCGTTTTCTCCTTTCGCAGGCCAACATGCCCTTCCTGTCCATCTACCTGCTGGCCCTGGAGCAGGATATGGAGCACGGGACGTCGGTCCTGCAGGCTGCCAGCACCCTGCAGCACCAAACCTTCCTGCAGGTGAGCGGATCGACGTCCGGCTCTGATGGGGCTTCCCCGGCGGCTGGGCAGCGAGGGAGTCTCCTTAGTCCTTCTGCCACGGCTCTTCCAGAAACTGGAATTGCTGCTCGGCTCAGCCACGGCTTGGGCTCGGCATCCCCTGGCTTCGCTCTGGCCTCAGGGCATCTATGAGCCCAACCCCTCCGCCAGACGCTGGGTCCCTCGAGGGGTCAGATACGGGGTCTGGGAGGAAATCCCTAAATCTGGCAAATCAAACAGCACCTCATTATCGATCTCCACCTCCTCCGAGGCCTCTCTGCATTCCCACATTCCCCCTCGAGCACAGGCCAAGCTGCACCCGTCTCCCAGGGATTGCCGCTCTCCGGAGGGAAGAGGGAAGGAGGGAGGGAAACCGCATCGGGCACTTCCCAGGCTGCAGATTTCTGCCCGTGCCACAACCCCTCCCTGTAACCGAGCCCAGATGTGCTGGGGAATGATAACAACCGCCGCGGGGAACTTCTCCTTGCAAACCCGTTTGGGAAGGGAAGAGCAGCGAGCGTTCAGCTCAGACCCCCTTGGGGGGCTGTTTCTCCCTCCTGGTTCAGCCGCTGACAGTGAGACGCCTCGAACATGAGAAACGGAGGAAGGAGATCAAGGAGCAGTGGCACCGGGCGCAGAGGAAACTGGTGAGGAACAGGCACACGGCACGGGCTGGGTTTGCACCCCCCGAACCCGCGCTGGAGCACCCCGCGTACCCCTCTGAGGACGCTGGGCTCCTTGCCCCTCTCCGGTAGCATGAGGTGCTGTGTCCTAGGATGCTCCTGCGGTGCTGGGAGACGCCGGAGAGAGACGGGGCCCAAGGGAGCTGGCGGGGGGGCAACTGTGCTCGAGCAGAGCTCAGCCCTCAGCCTGGGTCACTGTTTTCGCTGGCAGCAAGAGGCCGAGGTCAACCTGCGCAAGGCCAAGCAGACCTACATGCAGCGCAGCGAGGAGCACGACAAGGCCAAGTACATGGCGGTGAAAGCGGAAGAGGAGCAGCAGAGCACGGCCGGCAGCATCACCACCAAAACCCTGGACAAGAAGAGGCGGCTGGAAGAGGAAGCCAAGAACAAGGTAGGAACATGAGCCCTGGGCTCCCTCCGGCTGAGCATCTGCCTGCCAAGAGCCTTCCCACGCCTCGCTGTCCGAGCGCAGGGACAGCCCTGAGTGGATGAACCGAGCTCCCCGCGGATCCTTGGACACGGCGTAGGAATGCCTGGAGGCGCGGGGTCCATCCATAGGGAGCCGCTCTCCTTGTTCTCCTCATCTGTGAACCGTTCCCGTCTCCTCCTCTCCCCCCTCTCAGGCAGAAGAGGCCATGGCCACGTACCGGACCTGCGTTGCGGACGCGAACACCCAGAAGCAGGAGCTGGAGGACACCAAGGTGAACTCCCTGCGGCAGATCCACGAAGTCATCAAACAGAGCGACCAGGTCATCAAGACGGTGAGCGGGGCTCGCTTCCTCGGGATGGTCCCGAGGGCAGGGGGTGGCCGTGCCGGGCTCAGGAGAGGGTCAGAGCTGCCGTCCCTGTTTCCGGTGGGATGCAGAGCTCTGCACTTCCCTGTGCCCTGAAAAGCCAAGGCTGCGGACCAAGCACCGCTCCGTGCTCCCGATTTCTACCCTGCAGCCTCCCTCTCTCTCCGGCGGGTGACAGCTCGCAAAACCTCACGCCTGGTTCACTCCACGTTATTTTTTTAGGCCACCATCTCCTTCTACCAGATCATGCACATGCAGACGGCCCCGCTGCCCGTCAACTTCCAGACGCTGTGCGAGAGCAGCAAGCTCTACGACCCCGGGCAGCAGTACGCCTCTCACGTCCGGCAGCTGCAGCGCGGGGACGAACCCGACATCCAGTACGACTTCGAGCCCTACGTGTCACACAACGCCTGGTAGG